TCTCTGTCACCCAGACTGGAGGGCAGTGGCCGCTCCCGGCCACCGCAGTCTCTACCTGCTGGGCTCCGGCGATCCTTCCGCCTCAGCCTTCCAAGTAGCTGGAACTACAGGCACGTGCTACCAAGCCCAGATAATTTTTGATTTATTGTAGAGATGAGGTCTCGCCAAGTTGCCTGGTTGGGTCTCAAACCTGTGGGCTCAGGCAGTCCTCTCACCTTGGCCTCCCAAAGTGCTGGGATGAAAGGCTTGAGCCACTGAATCTGGCCACAGAATATTTTTGTGTTTCTTTTCTCTTGACCTTTCTTCTGGGATGAAACGAAGTTACTTGGGAACAGCTTGGTCCTTACAAGGGGAAGCCAGCACTGCCTTTGGTCTAGGGCTAAGTTTACCCACTTGAGGTCTTGTCCTCCTCAGAACTCTAATGGAGCCTGGGTCCTGGGAGGCTTCTTCTGACGTATGGGCCCCATGCTGGTTTCTGTGGCCTTTCTTCCTTTTTTGGGTGGCCCATCCCTTGTCCTGGGGATTTCCTTACATCAGCTCTGTTGTCCTCCGTGCTGAGCTCAGTCCTCTGTCCATCCTCCATTGTGTCCCTGAGGTCCAAGCCCTGTCTTCTCAGTTCAGGGAGGCTGATGGGCCATGTGAGTCTCCTGAGTTTGCTTCCATCTCTCAGTACTGCTGTTGCCCATGGTCAGAGGTCCAGTGTCTGAAATTAGAGTTTCCTCTATTTTAGTTCAGAGTTTTAGTTGTTTAAGGCGAGAAGACAAATCCAGTCCCTGCTCAGGGCCTGTAGGTCTTGGGATGTCGAGTGTCAGATGTGTGAGACTGGGATTGAGAGAAGAGGTCGGGGCTGTTGAGCGAATGAGGCATCGTTTGTAGCTGGTGTTGAGAGCAGGAGGCCGGGAGCTTGGGGTGTGGACATCGTCAGGACCAGCTGGTCCTTGCCGGGTGTGCTGGTGTTGGACAGTCATGTGGTCTTCATAATAGTAGGTGCTGTGGTTCTCTGCATGTTATGGTGGGGAAATGGAGGCATGGGAGCCCAACACCTCACACCTGCCTTTTGAGCGCAGGGCCCAGCATTCAGATGCAGGCTGCTGGACCACAGTGTGACCCATCTCTCCAGGAGGTGGACGGAGCTCCAGGCCATGCCACAACCATTGGACGGGGCTGGAGGGATCCTCCAAGGCTGGGGGCATGTGCCAGTGCATCCTGGAAGCCAGTGGGGAGGGAACAGAGAACTGTAAAATGTGAGACTCAGCTATTGGGGAGTTTGCTGTGAGAAGGACAGAAGGAGATGGTGACTGCAGAGGGCAGGTGGGCATTTGCTTTCTCTTAGTGCCATAAATTAAGCTCAGAACAGCATGCTTTGTGGCCTCACCATGCTGCGGATTGCAGGTCTAGGCCTAGTAAGGCTCAGAGGTTGAAGCCAACGTCTGCAGGCCACGCTCCTTCCTGGAGCCTTGGGATGAGCCTTCCCCACCCTTCTGTGGCACACCACTGAGGTCCCTTTCCCTGCTGGTTGTGACCCTGGACCTGCCTGAATGCCTTCTCTTCAAGGTGTGTGCTTCTCTTCTTGGTTGGCCTCTGAACTTGTGGAGTGTGCTTATGGTGACCATCAGTGCCCTTGTCTCTGCATTCTGTCGTCAGTGTCATTGTGGGGTCTGTATCTATTGATTGATTGTCAAGGTTTGGTCCTTGGCCAGGTGAGGTGGCTCATGCTGGTCATCTCAGCACTTTGGGAGGCCAAGGTGGGAGGATTGATTGAGCCCAGAAGTTTGAGACAAGTCTGGACAACATAGGGACATCTCATCTCTACAGAAAATTAGCTGGGTCTGGTGGCGTGTGCCTGTAGTTCCAGCTCTTCAGGAGGCTGTGAGGTGGGAGGATCACCTAAACCGAGGAGGTCGAAGCTGCAGTGAGTTGTGATCACACCACTGCAGCCTGGGTGACAGAGTGAGCCCTCAACTCAAAAA